GTTTTTTTGTGCCACTGCATTCTAGTCTAGTTGAAGCCTCTGGGTGGTCTTCAAGGACAGCCTGCCCCATATAGAGAGCATTACAGGGAGGTGACATGAGCCATGAGGTGACAAAGGCATGAGTGACTATGGGGAAAGCAGCCCAATCCAGGAAGGAATGAAAACAGTGCACCAGATGAAGATGTTGGCCACAGGTATCACTTGATCTTTAAGAAGAAACTATGAGTCCAGGAGGACTCTCAGATTGTGCACCATTTCAGAATGGGGAAGCACAACCCCATTCAGGATCAGGATGGAGGATTCTTAGACCTGGGCAATAACCACATCCACTCAATTTCAGTAGGATTGAGTTGGGTGCAGTTTTTTTCTCCATCCAGGCCCTCATAGCCTCAGATACTGTTCTTGAAAGAAGATGAGATCTCATTAAAAAATAGTTTTTATTTCTCCTGAATCTTATATCCAGACACAGGCGTTACCAGATGTGAACCACATCAGAGTCCCGAGACTAGAGGATTTCCCCCCCAATATTTTATTTATTAAACTTGTTTGCCACGCATTTTGTCTAAATCATATCATATGATCTCTACCTTTTGTCATATAGGTAGATATTAAATTCAGATGTTAAAAACTATTTAAAAGGGTAACATACTTTAAATGTAATCTCACAATGTATGTACATCTTGGGCAATGCTTTTTCTTTTTTCTTTTTCTTTTCTTTTTTATTTTAACAAGGCAGCTTTGGCAAGTCCCAAGTATGCTTTGTAGCCATTTTGATTCCCAGCCAAGCTGCCGAGTCAGAGAACAACAAAAAAGTGGTTTTTACCAAGTCTTTGGACTGCACCCAAATCTTGCAAATTCTTTTGCTTGTTCATAGAAAAGTGTTTTTAGTAATCCCATCATAAACCTCTTAAAAATTTACCTCCATATTTAGACTCTTTGATTCTGGCCACTCCTTAAAACTGATCCTCTGAAAATTGGTGGATTGGGACAAACTTAGCCAAGTATTAATTCAGACAGATTCTTCTTATTATTTAGATGTTACAATTCTCCCCAAAGCCAGATATTTCTTCTTAGTTCAGGGTAGATCTGGCTCTGATCACATTTTAATACTATGCCGAATTTTCCAGGTGTTTTTGCCCTCCTGTTAAATAAATGCTACTTCATTCCCACATTCCTTCATTTATATTTTTTATTTTTTTAGAATTACAGGTTTTAGGATTTCAGAAGGCCCTTAAAACTTGACTCTGTGGCCAAGCCTGGGTTAATGCGTTTGTTCTGTGTTTGTGGGGACCTGTCATAGCTATACTGTTTATTCTAGTTGTTTTAGTCTGGATTGCCAGTTTATGTGGGTTTAAACTTTTTAAACTGTTTTTATTATACTTTGAATTGACTTTGTAAGCTGCTCAAGGCCTTCTGGAGTGGGTGGCCATCTAATATATAAAATAAAATTAATTAAATTCAGTTATAGTTTCAAGGTGAATTTAATAATAGTAAAAATGCTGTTTTATTCTGCTACAAAAATCTTTATTAGTCTGTAGCTTATTTCCCCCTTTCCTAAATGGAGAAAGGCCCTATAACAAGAGTGCCCTTCAATTTTTTTGTCGATATTTTGTAGAAATATAAGCACTCTGGAATGTTAGAAGCTGTTTGGAGCTGGGTGCAAATACAACTGCTTCTAGTCTACAACCACCTGTAGTTTACCACTGAGACTTGGCCTATTTCCTATGTTTACTGTCATTTTAGTGTCTGTGTTGCTCTTGCTTTAATGTCCTTGGATAGTGAAGCTGCTTTTGGTAGTTGTTTATTAGCCTAAGCTTTGCTCTTTGCTCTTTATCAGCAGTAAGTTAGAAAGGAAGTAGCTGAAGGAACAGAGAAAAGGAACAACATCTTTGCTTCCAAGGACTGCTTGGTTCTCCTGTAAGAAGACTAAGAAGCAATAGTGCTGGGAATTTGTGCCCTAATAAACAAGTACTAGAGATATCTCAAATTCCTGCAGGGTCATAGAAGTCTGAACATCTCATGATACCATGTTGATCAAATGGCAATGATGAAATCTGTGAGAAACCTCTCTGCTGAGAAAGACTGGGCTTGAAATTATGCCAAGTAGTATCATCCACCAATGATACCATAATAAATGAGCCAGTTATGCATGTATGTAGGAAGCATAAATGGATTGCAACTATAGCAAAAAATTCTCAACCTTGGCCACTTTAAGACGTGTGGACTTCAACTTCCAGAATTCCCTAGAGGCTATGGAATTCCAGGAGTTGAGGTTCACACATCTTAAGTGGCCAAAGTTGAGAAACACCTACATAAAACATCCTATAAGATATAAGTACCTCCCCAAGGTACCCTCATATTCACAAAGCACTTTCAAACCACTACCATTCTACTCTCCAATTTCTTGGATATTTGAAAATGGTCCTGACTTCATAATGCTAAAAAAAGAATGAAGAATGCCACTTATTTAGCATTGCAGATCTTAAATAACAAAAATCCCCTCATTCCTATTCCAAATAAAAAGGAAATAAAATGAATCCTTGCAACCCCCATTCTCATCAGCATGCTTACTTTGTGTGCTATGAATTTTTCTTATGGAACTCCCTCTCCTGCACCCAAATGTACAGCAGTTCCTAAAAGTTTCACAGAAATAATCTGCAGAATTATATTGAAATTATATTGAAAAATACATACAAACTATTTAATAATATAATCTTAATTACTGTAAAAATAGTCTAGATGTGTGAGCTTATTAACTGATAATAAGATTTACTGTTTGGCTAGATAATAGTTAAGATAGTAGAATAATACGTAACATTTCTCAAATCAAGTGGTTAATATCATATATTAAAATTTCAGGTACATGGCAGATTCTGTTTGAAAATAAATGATATGATAAGAATTTAGACTTTAGAGTTATGAAAGATCTAGATAATTATTTCCTTTTTATGAAGTTGTTACTTGATGTTAACTACTTGTATTTCTTAAAAGATTCCTTGCATTTCTAATAAAAAAGTAAAGATTTCATTTCAGTGAATGACAATCTCACATAAAGCTTCAAAATATTCCATAATTTGTTTCATAATTAGTCACATTTTCAATGGACCTTATTCCAATATTAGTATGATGATGCAAACATAACGATTATAATAAAATGGGTATCGCATGATGGACTACTGCCCTTGGGATAAATGCATGGTACACATGTACACAGTCATTCTGAACTCTGCACTCCTACACCATTGATAAAAACAATTGTACTGACTAGAAATTATGAAAGAGTTGACACCCTACGGTACTAGCTACCATTGCAACCCTATCCCTCTCTCACACATCCATTTAGGATATCCAGAATTCACCAAACTACAAAACTTGAGTCTTCAGGACTGCTTCTAGCACAGGTCAAATCCTTATCTGCCTTTGACAGAAGCACTTCTAGCTGAGTTTCAGTTTGTTTGTCCTCATCTGATCCATTTTTTTAAAAAAAATATCCTTAAATTCTGATGGAAAAAAAGAGATAGAATTGCATATTGTCAATATATTTGGTCATTTTTGACACATTTTCAAAAACATGGTGATTAGCATTGGAGAAAAGATGAAGCCTTGTGGGAGCTCATAAACCTATAGCTATGTTACTGAATGAGTTCCCCAGCACTTGTTATTCTTTTTAAATCATCCTTTCAAGAAGTAGTGAAGCCTCCATAAAACAGTGCCTCTTGAGTTCCATCAAAGTCTGATAAGAATGGCGCGACTAATGGCAGCAAAAGCTGCTGAGGAATTTAACATAATCACGAAAGATAGTCTTGTGAAATTTGTTCTTGATATTGAACATCCACCAAGACAGTAATGGTGTTATATGTCCAATAACTAATTAGAAGTGAGCACAACTGAAATGAATCTATATCAGACTTCTCCAACCCAGGTGGCTTTAAGATATCTCAGAATTTCAAAATATTTGTTAAATATGTAGCCAGTTGGAAGAATAAAGTTATTGTTCCGTTTTACAAGGATAACAAGAGTAAATATGAAAAAAAATATGAAGGATTAGTTTGTTTAGAGTTTCTAAGAAGACAGAACTGTAATTAAAAGAGAATGAAATGTTAACAATGAGCAATGTCTGGGAAAAACAGTGTGGGCAGGAAATATGCAAATCAGATTTTCAATTTTCTTGTCATTTACAAATGTCTAAATATGAGAACGCATTTTGAGATTTAAAGGAACTGTATGAAACAGTGAACAGGCTTGAATTATAGAATGTTTTGTGTAAAGATGTAGTTTGGTTGCTGAATGAGACAAGAGCCGTTTCTGATAGAAGTAAAATATGCATGGGCATAAATTGATTATGTAGTGATTATTTCAACATTGGGCAGTGCATAAGACAAGGATATGTGATTCCCCTTGGTTTCTTTGTGTCTATGGATAAATGTATAAAGAATTTTGTGGTGATGTTAATGTATTGATGGAAGATCTGAATCTGTGTGCTGTTAATGTCGTGCTGCTGGCTAAGCCTGAATTATCTGCAGGTTAGATATCTGATCAGCTGATAGTTGATATGATGCAACAAGAATAAGGATCTGAAAATTAATATTTCAAAGACCATTAGCGTTTGAACATTTCCCTGTCAAACTCTACCACTTCGAAGGGTAAGACAAGTATAGAATGATCAATTACAAGTTATCCATAAATGATGAAAAATTAGAACATTTGTATAATTTAATAAAGTGTATAAAATTTAGTAGAAAAATAGAAGGTGTATATTTTCAGAGAACAGGGCTCATAAAGAGAAACTTAAAAATTAAGTTGACTGCATTGAAAATGAAGTATTTAAGAAATGTGTATAATACAAAAACACAGTCAAGAATGAAAGGGTGATAGATGAATGTGAACTGAATATCAGTATGAACAAGCAATATGAAAGAAATATATTCCTTTTCTCATGTAGAGAAAACAAATGAAGTTCACATTGTAAAAAAAAAAAAGCACAGAAGATTTTCTTTTACCTTTTGCTGTGAGACATTCTTAACCCAGGGATTGCCTTGGTGGTTATATTGGTGCCTGTGAACTCATTGAAAAATAAGGCTAGATATTAATGTTGTATTCCTTTCTTGTGTATATTTTAAGTAATAGTGTTTGAAGCCATAATTTTAAAAATAGCCTTAAAATAACAAAAAACAATCTTCATGAAACCAACAGGACTTGCTACCAAGGAAAACTGTAGCACAAATCCTGAATTTAATTTTCCGTCCATTATCACTGTCAGAACACTAAATGTACACAAATCTATAGATTTTGGCATAGGAATAGATCACTGTCAGGTATTCTCAAAATATTTTTCTAAAATTAGTGGTAGACTTTTCTAAAATTGGTAGTGTTTATCACTGGGCAACAAATGTTGCCATTAACTTAAGGCACCAGGCCAATCACTCTTTCAGTGCAACTCACCTCAAAGAGTTGTTATTGAAGGAAAAATAGGAGGAAGATGTGTTGGATATGTTCACCACCTTGAGTTATTGTAAAAATAATAAAAGCGAGATACAAATTAAATAAATAAAGCAATAAACCACCAATTCTGTTAAACTACCAGGGAACGATTCAAATTTTCCAACTTTTGATTCCTAAAATAATACTGAAATCATATGTGAGAGATATGGGTTCAAAAAGGTATATTGCAAAGAATGCCTCTAGGCATTCCAGAGTTGGCATCTTCCTTTCTTGGAAGGGAATGATATCATGAGAATTTTATTGCTATAGATCTATGGCCTTTAATAGTCATTACACTATATTCAGCAAGATAAGATTTTCTGTTAACTAAACTCTTCATTGCACAATGTCTAAGAATTTCCCAACTTCACTTCAGTTTTTAGCAGCCAATAATTCTGTACAGTATGGATCCAACTATGTAATACAGTAGATTTGACAGATCTCTTTTAAGTCTATGGTTGTGTTTGCATGATAGACATAACCTTGTCATCTCTCCTTAGACAACTATTCACTTCTGAACACTGTGATGCATGATTAGGGATGACCTGGTCTGTCATGTCTTAGACATTTTTTTCAGTCTTGTGAAGCACCACAAAAGAAATTGCTCCTTTTAAAAATAAAAATTGCAATAATAATGAGAAAGAGGATGAAAGAGCCATGGTGGAATGATTGATGTGGTTGATTGATTGGGGAGGGGATTCATAAAATATAACATAATATATAAACGCTTTTACAAAAATAAGATGGATATCCTTCCCTTTCATGACAAAATTATTGCATGTTTGTGAACATGCTATTTCCAGCAATAGCATAATGTTCAGAGTAGAGACATAAGGTGCTTTTTCAAGAGGCAACTGGACTTTCTGGTTTTTCTTTGAAGATGTTTCGCTTCTCATCCAAGAAGCTTCTTCAGCTCTGAAAAACCCAGCTCTGAATCCAAGCGCTGAAGAAGCTTCTTGAATGAGAAGCGAAACATCTTCAAAGAAAAACCAGAAAGTCCAGTTGCCTCTTGAAAAAGCACCTTTGGGACAACTATGACCTGGATGACTGAGAATCTCCATAGACTGTACTCCCTTACTTTGCATGAGAGCAGAATTTTATATAAGGCTTCCCTCAACAATCTGACAAGATGATCACAACCCTGCATTATTCTGTGGAGGGTTTAAAAGGTTAAAACCAGCATTTTAAATTGAGCATGGAAGCTTATTGTCAATCAGTGTAGCAACTGTAGAGGCAATGTCTACCTGCAATAATCCAATCACTGTCTTCAGTACCAGTTCTGAGTAATCTTCAAGATGTCCCACATAGTATATTATAGTAACAGTGCATGGTGACAAGAGCATGACCCACCATGATAAAATTTCCAGGCTTGAGATAAGGTTATATGTAATAAGTCACTCAAAGCTGGACAAAGGCCCCAGTTGTTACAATCTCTACTTGTTGAAACAGAAACTGAAGTCCAGAAGGACCTTTAAATAGATCACTTCCTCCTTCATGATGAAAATATTGTAACCCTGTTCAAATCACAAGGGGGACCAAGGTTCCAAAAAATAAAGTTGCTTATGGAAAAACATCACCTTATCTTGCAAGAGATGAAGGTGATGCTTCCACCACCCCCCCCCCCCATATAGTCCCTCATAGCCTCCAGACACCAGTAGGCGGCCTTCACTGCACATCCAGTCTGCTTCAGAGTTGCAAGACATATTTCATATCATCACCACCCAAAAGAGGATCTCCATCAATAACTTCATTTAATAATTAAATAACATTGGGTACAGGATCAAGTTTGCTGCAGAAATCAAAACATGATTGCTCTCTGTAGGAATACTGTCTAGACATTCACTTAAGTAGGAACAGAATCACTATAAAACACTGCTCCTAACTCTCTAGTCTTGCAGGCAGTCTAAAGGGGTACTTTACTTGGATGATACAAAACTATGTTGAGTGTTCAAGAGGGTGAACTCTCTCCATACAGATCCCAACAAAGATCACCCACCGGAGCAAACAGGTCTCTGTCCTACCTATGCCCAGGCATGAATCCTGATGGAAAGGCTTCTAGTTCTCCAAGATCCTGTGTAGTTGATTTTCCATGCCCCTTTTGACAAACAAAGGGACAGAAGTTGTTTAATATAGCTGGATCAAGAGCCAAAGTCTTTAATTTCTCTGAACCATAAGGCTCAGGGAAAATTAGGTATATCTCATTGTTTTCTAAGTAGATGTGAGAAAAGGGCAGAGGAGGGTATCAAATGACATTCCAGTAACTAAGAATGGAAATGGCACGTATAACACTCTAATGTTGCAGTGAGTTGCAGTGTCAGGATGCCACCCAGCCTATTCATGGGTTTATCCAGGAGCTGTCAATGACACTGGTTTACAAGTTCAGGATGCCAATCCAAAAAGTAATATGAAATTTGCTAAGAAATTACTGAATTGTGGAAGCTATTCAAGACTTCTATTTTTGGTTAAAATGCCTTTCATGTTGTAGAATAAATTGACCAGAGAAAAATGTTTGTCAAAGTAAAAAAACCTGTGCAATAAAACTAAAACAAAAAAACAAAAATACCCTCTTATTTATAACTTGGATTTACACAGCACAGGGAGCTGGAGGCATATGAACCCACCATGAAACCCACCAAGTTAAATTTGTGGTTCTGTGTGTTATGAAAAATTAGAAAAGGACAACTGGTAAACATGTTAACTGTAGGGGGAAGCATGCCAACGCCATCAGAGAGGTATTTACCAATTACTCATATTTAATTTCCCTAGCAGAGTGACAGAATTGATTCCCTGTTTCAAACTTCTTGGGTTTGAATTTTCCATTCTCAAGAAACAAACCTAAAGCAGACCTTCAGCACATAAGGCTTTGCCTGAAGGTCTTCACTGACATACAGGAAATGCCAGTTATTATAGGGGGAGTCCTGAAAAAAATCTTCCCCGTTGCCGTTCAGGATGCTTCCAACCTTGCTAAATGCCTCAGAAGCCCACTAATTGCCTTATTTCTGCTGACCGGACAGATACAACGGCTTTTTCACAAAGCAGATCGGTGTGCAATCCTCCCGAAGCGCAGGCAAACGGAAGAATCCCTAGTGAGGAGCAGGCACTTTCCCCAAGATACCGTTTCTCTGGTGGATGCAGGGCAGCTGGGAGAAGAAACTTGGCTGGGGGAAGGAGGCGAGGAGGAGCGGCCAAGGCGAGCGCAGAGCCAAAAGCCAAATGCACCTGGCCGGCCAGAGGCGGCGCTGAGAGAGGTCGGCTGCGCAAAACCAGCCCCGGCGCCCTTCAGGTTACCTATAGCCTCCGCCCTCTTCCTTTCTTTCTCCTTCCCTCCCGCAACCTGGGCCCGCCCATCGGCCCAGTTCTCCTCTGGCTACGCAACTGGCGCAAGCCACGCCGCAGGCGTAGTGGCCGTCCGGGGAATTCGCTGCCTGCCCGCTCAGAGCCGGTGCGCTTGACTGACGGAGGGCCAGTGTGGGCTGGGATGTGACCCGCCAGAGAAAATGGCGGCGGCAGGAGGACCAGCGGCGGCGGCTGGGGATCACATCGCCTCTTCGGTGGGATTATCTTGTGGGAACGAAGCCGCCGCCGCCGGAGTTGCCGCCTCCGTAGCAGCGCCCGCCACAGGCGTTCCGAGCCCGAAGCCTTTACGGTACAGCAGCGGCGCTGCACCGGTACTCGTCGCGGGGCTCCCCACCAGAGACAGCGGCGGCGGCAACCAGAGGGAGTCGCGCTCAGACTGGAAGCGGAAGCAGCTGCGCAAAGTGCGGAGCGTGGAGCTGGACCGGCTGCCGGAGCCCGCCGAGTGCCCGGAGCTGCCCCTTTGCTTCATTAGAACCGCCGGGGGCGCCACGTCCTCCTCCACCCCCCAGCCCGTGGCCCCGGCGCCGCGCTCCACCCCCGGCAGTCCCGCGTCCTCCCCCAGCCGCGGCGGCGTCCTCATCGCCGGCTCCCACGACCCGCAGCAGCCGGACGTCGGGAGCCAAGCGGCGGGAGCTGGCGTCGCCCAGAGGATCTCGGAGTTCCTACCGCCGCCGCCACCCCCCACTTCAGCCGGAGCTGGGTGAGTGGGGCTGCGGAGTATACGCGGACGGGCGGGCGGGCGAGAGTGCGCGGGGCTGCGGTTGACACTTGAGAGCGGCGGGATCCTTTCGGCCTGGCCGAAGGCAAGGGGTGGCCGGGACGCCGGGGTCGGGGCTGTTTGCGGCCGCCGCTTTCCCTCCCCTGCGCGGGCAGGTAACGCGGCGCTTGGGGCGCCTTGCAGAGAGAGGGCGCGTGTTTGCAAACACACCCGGGCGAGCCTCGAGAGTTGCCTGCCTGCCTGCCTGCCTGCCTGGGAGCTCGGATTTGTCAGGGAAGCCGGCCAGGGGTCGCTTTCGGGGGCAGGTCAGCGTGCGGCGCTGCTTCCCAAGCATTGTTTTGGCAGCACACTCCCCTGCCCAGCGCACGCATCCTTTGCTATTTTAGCCCCCTTAGAAGTGTTTCTTTTCTGGCGCTAAGAGCCCCATTTTGATTTTGACTCTGCTATGGGGTTGCAGAAGGAATGGGCGCGTTTCAAAGGGCGCCCGGGGCCGAAAAGCCATTTCAATACCTGCCCAGCGGCGGTTGCTTGAGAGACTTTGAAGTTTGAATTGGCCGGAGTGGTGGAAAAAGACCGGATGTCCCAGCCTTTCAGTTTGTGTGCGGATCAACCCACTAATTCTTCAGGCGATTCTTTTCTCTTGTACTAGTAGGAGGATCCAGAGTTGGAGGGGAGGAGGTGAGGGGAATGGGGATGCGGGTAAACATCGCTGTAAAATGCAAGTATTTTAGATTGGTTTGCAGTTCAATTGGTGTTCTCAACAGTTCAGGAACCGAGAGCGCGTCTGTAGCTTGTTCCCCCCACGCTGTTTGAAAACAGGGAAATCTGTTTACGGAGTGGGAGAAAGCAGTTTTTTTTTTTTTTTTTATCCATATGCCTCTCTACCCGGCTGTCGCTGAAACAGATATAAATTGAGATTTCAGGTGACAAGACTTGAAAACAGTGTGTATGGGCTTGTCTTCGTTTCTTAAAGTTAACTGACCGTTCAGAATTTGCCCTGTTTTCCCGACAGCAAACACAGGTTTCAGTTGGGGATATTAAATTAAAAAGCGCTGGTTTAAATTTGACAAAGCTGTGGGTTTTGTTTTTATACATATGTTAAAGTGCCTCGGTGTCTGTTTTTAGTAACCTCTGTTCAGATAAACGCATTTTTTATCAAAACATTTTACCAAGGGTTGATGAAGAAATGCCCTTATAATCAGTAAGGGGGTGCTCTGAGACGTACATTCTGCATTGCTCATAAAAGAAGCCTGATCCTAAACAGGGATCTCTCAGAAACAGATCACCTTGACCTCCCTGAGTCACTTTCAATAAGCATGTTTAGTCTTACAGTCTTAATATACTTAATTTTAAACTACTTGTACAACCAGATCTAGTTCTTAGGCAGCCAATAATCAGTGGTTCTGTATATGCTTATAACTTGTGGATTTGCTACATTTGGGGTTGGGGTAGTCATTGAAATAAATTAAAATTAATTGCTGAGAAAATATTTAAACATACTGGATAAATCATTTTACTTAAATAGTTTATCTCCGCATGGACAGTACAGATTTAGTTGAAATAAATCCAACAAAAATAGCCAGTGCAAATTGTAATTTCAATATGTTTAAACATTGAATAGCCATTATTACTCTTGTTAATATTTCAGCTAAGTTTGTGTGTGTGTGTACACGCGTGCATGCATTCAAGTCATTCTTGACTCCTAGTGATTGCATGGATAAGCCATGCAGTTTTCTTGGGGAGATTTTTGAAAGTTATTTGCCATTACCTTTATTCTAGAACAGAGGGACAGTGGCCCAAGGTCACCAGCTGGCTTTGTGTCTCAGGCAGAACTAGAATTCAGTCACCTGGTAAGTAGCACAGTGCTGCTACACCATATTCCAAATAGTAAATGCCTCAACTAAATTCTTAAAATCTAAATCACATTATTACATTTAACACAATGAGTGCAGTAACTAATATTAATTCCTTTCATAAGAAGTGAAATTTTCTTTCCCTTCTTGAAATAAGTAGATAGTGCAGCTGCTTTAAGGCCCTCACATATTTCTCTCTTATCTATGATCTTTCAACCCAGGGTTTAAATAGTTCCTACTTCATCACATTTCTGAATTATGAACGCTATTTGCAGTATCTATTTGCATCATTCTAATTCAAAATGCTTATGAAACAAAATAAAAATCTATGTAACTAATTCTGGTCTAAGCAATTAGCTATGTATATGTTATAGATTGGAATAGGGATAAAAATATTCATCCATCCATCCAGGGATTCGATGATTACTAATGCAGTGTAACATCTCCATTTGGAAAAGGTTGCAGCTGCATAGAATGACTTTCCTTGCTGAATATGAGAATTAAGTTAGCCATGACAGTTAATCCAAAGTTAAATAGTCTTAAATTATTCAGTTCCCCAAATATTTAACTATGATAATACCCTGGCTTCCATGAAATAAAGAGTAAGGTAGCTTTCTTGACGGTGTCTTAATTTTACTATGTTATTTTAGCCTTCCATTTATTTTGCCTAGCAATTTAAAATTGGAGATCCAGATTAGTTTTTTGTGTACTTTAATGTTACTTATTAATGTGTACTTTCATTCAGTAAATGCTGCTAGAATTTCATAGTATTAATTGTTCACTGTTCTTAAAGAGTATGGAAAAGCAGCTTTTGTAAAAGTAAAGTTGTGGTTTTGAGTGTTTCAAAATACTGATTATGTCCAACAGTAATAATGGAATCTTAAAAAATGGAATTTTAATGATAAAATAATTTTCTGAAACTTAGGCTGCAATCCAAACACTGGGACCAAGTTTCATTAAGCTCAGTGAAGCATAGTCTGAGTATAAGGATAAAGCTGCACTTACATAATTAAGCAGCCTTTTTGGTGTAACTATGATTTTTCCTATCTTATCTATGAGGAAACAGTCTTAATGCTACTATAATAAGCTTTTTATAGGTGAGGATTATAACTTGAATTCCTGCTAAGCCCTTATGCAATTTGTCTTTCAAAAATAGTAAACTTTATATTTTCATTACCAAGGATTTCTGTTGCTCCTGTATTTGTTTACATTGGAGTGATGGAGGAAGAAATTGTGCCAGAATGATAATTGAAAATACATAGCTAGACAATTTTGTGTTATTGGACCTAACTAAAAATTAGGTTTTTGTATATGTAGAAAGGTTTGAAAAAAATACAATGGAATAACAATTCCAATATAGTAGTATGCTATATATACTGTGTTTGTGCATGCATATGTGTGTCTTTCTCTGTGTGGGGGATCTTATTAGTACAATAATTGTTATAGTTTAACTTGTAGACTCAGTTCCAACCAAATAGCAAAAGCCACACTAATTAAACTTTGAAGCATCAGTGGAGGTGGAAGAATATAGAAGAGGCAAATAGGAAAGAAGAGTCGTCTGTGATCTGTTAGGTCTCAGACATTTCAGGATTGGCTTTAAAACATGTTTTAAAAAAATCTGATATTTAACTTTATGCTGCTTGACTTTATAACATCAAAGCGTGAAACATTTAAATTGCAATATAAAAATGCACTATAAATAACAAATCAAATGGTCAGTGACCATATATTTAAACAACAAACATGGATTTTTCAAATGCCAGTGTGAATGAAAAAGTTAGCAGTGTGCATCTCAGCTACCCCAGTGTCATTTTATATCTTATTTCTGGTAAGGTACAAAATGGACAGCGCTTACCATGCAAACAGCAGCAAACATCCCCTCACTGATCCCAGTGTGACAGAGGAAGAGGTCGATTATCTGGACTTATAGAATGAATTCTTCATTTCAATAACCTTAGGCATCAAAGATGGCTGGGTTAAATAAGTATCTGATCAATATTTGCCTGATGATTGATATTATGAGTATAGCTGCAGATACAATGAAATCAGCTCTTCTAATTTGTTAGATACTGAAAAGGCCTTTGATAGGGTGCAGACTGAACATTAAAATGCATTTTAAGAAGGTATGGTTTCTATTGTATTTTTGTTCATGGCATTGCAATTTAGTTTTTTCATCCTGTAGCTTGCCTGATCACCAATCAATTTGTCAGGCCTTTAAATTATATTGTGACCCTTTAAATTATAAATAATGTACCCTACCTCTTTTGATTTTCAGTTTGGTGTTTGAACTGTTGGTAGATTCCATTACACAATCTCAGAGCATTAAAGGCAAGGCACTTAAAATTGAATATATATTATTTTTATACAGTATATTAATAATATGGCTATTCTTGAAAATTATATAAATTATTACAATGTTTGTTGATATTACAAAGCAACAATGTTTATATAAGTATGGGCATTCTATTACAGGAATACATTTGCTATCTTTGGGATCTATTACTTTTGTAGATTATTTTTAATTAGATTTTACAGTTTGAACAGATTCTATACAATACTTGAGTTTACATTTCTTCCAAAATTTATCACAGTATGTTGAATTTAATGTTGAATTAAATGTCTGAATCTATAGCTACAACTTCAATGGATATAACTTGATAGTCAAATTTCTTATAAAATATTTTGAGATAAGTTTAATTATATTAAAAAGGAATATTACATTGAAATTAATATATACATATTTTAAGAGGAATCCCAATGTTAATCCCATCAAAACTGCCATAATGTGAATGAAGTGATTTTATGCAGAAAAATGTAAGGTGTAATGGAGTTTCAAGTAGGAACATAAGAACATTCAATGAACTTTGTTGGTTTAGGCCAACAATCGATATATGGCATCATTTGGTGTTGCATAACAGGTAGCTAGATGCATTCAGGAAGCTCAGAAGGGCAATATTTCTCTTTTATTGTTGTTTTCTAGTATCTGTTATTATAGGTAATGCTGCATGTGGTTCAAGAGGTATTAAGCAGTCATTAAAAATTAACAATGTTAATTATTTAGTCTTTTGTTAATCTATACATTCCTTTTTAATATGGTCTATATTAGTGGCACGTACCACATCTGATAGCTTGATTTGGGATTAGGATAGTGTGTGAAAACGAAACTGAGTTAACTATATCTTTTCCTAATGTTTGACAAAAGATGTGTGTGTGTATGTGACTCTATTAATGTGTGCATTTTATTGGGCCACTAAAGCTAGCATATTATTAGAAACATAAAGATCCAAGAAATACCAAATGCCATCTTGTATGTCTTTTAACTGTATAGCTTCATCAGGTCTCTTGCCTGTGTATTAATAAGAATATTGATGACTCTGTTCACATGTAAACAATATTTTTATCATAAAGAAATATGATTGTATCCAGTAATTACAGTTTTAAGAATTTGAGCAGTCTCTGCATATTTAATTAGAAATCCAGTTTGTGCTTGCAGCATTAGGTTTCCAGTATTAATGAAATGTCATGTATTCTTGCCTAATGTTCTGTTAATATGAAAATAGTTTACATGATTTGCATTACCACAATCTGTTAAGATTTAATCCATTGAATCAAGAAATAATATTATTTTGGTTGCATTTATTCTTCTTTAAAACAATGCCTTCTTTAAAACAATGTTTTGTTATCAGCAGATAGAGTCCTTTATAAGTTTCTAAATTGTAATATCAAAATCAATTTAA